GGCCCCTCCAGGGGGACAGGGTGATGGGGCCAGACCCGCCCCGCCCCGCCCGGCGTCCTCACGCTGCGCTGCCGGACCGAGCGCAGGCGGCTTCCAGGAAACCTGCTTCCTCCACAGGGGCAGAGCAAGCCCTGCGCAGCCCAGGGCAGCCTCTGAGAACACACTCCTGGATTTAAAACTCAGAAGCCATGAGTCCAGGACGAGCCGAAGTCAGGGGGCCAAAGTCGGGGATGTAGCTCAGTGACGCCAGCAAGCCAAGGTCCTGTGTTCCATCTCCGGTACCAAAAGCAAACAAAACAAAACAGAACAAACAAAAACAAGTCAGAGGTCAAGGAGCAGTAAGGGTATTGGGAGGCGGTGGTGGAGAAAGGTGTGATTATTTGTTAACTGTTGAGTAAAGCTTTTTATGATGTCATTTGCTTTCTAACAGCACTGTGAATAGGAGACGTTTGTTCCAATCCTGCTCGGGAGGAAATTCAAGTTCTTGAAAGATGACTCCATTTCTCCTGGGTGCCTGTGCACCTGCGATGTCCCGCAAAAACCGTAACAGACGAATTTTGCTTTCTTGCTCGGCAAGCGTAACGTTAACCTTTGTTTGGAGACAGGGTATTGCTATGCAGCCCAGCTGGCCTGGAATGCAAGATCCTCCTGCCTCAGCCTTCTGAGTACTGGGATTACGCGCATGTGGCACCCTCCTGGCATGCTAAACTACTAAGTAATGTAGAAAGCAGTAACCACCCCATGCGCTGTTACTCATCTGATGTTAAGACTTAGCTGTTATAGGTAGTGACTGTCATAAAGCATTGAGCAGATATAAAATATTTTGATGGCATCTAATGTCATAAAAAATACATTTAAAAATACATAAAAACTGAGCGTGGTGGCGCATGCCTGTAATCCCAGCACTCAGGAGGCTGAGGCAGGAGGACGGCTGTGAGTTCGAGACTAGCTTGAGCTACATGGTGAGTTCCAGATCAGTGATAACTACATAGTGAGACCCTGTCTACAAAACAAAGACATTGAAATTTCAAATTTACCACTACTTTCATGCTTCTGTGTGCAAGCATGGGAAATTAATGCTTAGATGTGGCTTCCTGGGTTTTTTCACCCCTTCGTATGGCACTGGAGAGGCTGGGGGATAGAAGTGTGATGGGCTCAAGGCCAGACAGGAAGTAAGGACACTGCACCCCCGCGCTGTCACAGAGCTGCTCCTGCAGACAAGTCCAGGTCCTGATCACCATCCCGGTCCAAGGCTGCATTGAGCCTCACGAGCCAGCACCGGACCCCTGGGGTGTCCTCACCCCGAAGGAAGGAAAGAGCAGTGCCAGAACTCGAATCCAGCTCCTGAGTGGAATGTAGAGCCCAGGGTTCTTTCTCATCCGGGCCTCAAAGGGTCTCTGCAGATCTCCTGCTGCAGACTTATGGGCAAAGGACTCAAAAAACCTTAGATAACTTGACAATGACAGGGAATGATGAAAAGGTTACAGCTCTCTTCCGTAAGAAAAGCCATGAGACAGCCTTGCCAAGTGAATAGACAAACACTCCCTTTAAGCTTTTATTGGCGCAGCACACTGAAAGTATCCCAAATGTCCACTGTCCGTGAATCCAAAAACATTTAATAAGGCTGTGGCGCTGCGAGTCCCCATGAACGTTATAACCAGCCAGGAGTAGAGGAAGCGGGGTGCTTCTCTGAGCTCCTCTCAGCAGATGGAGGATCAGCATCACCTGGGGAACTCTTTTCCCAAAAACTACCATAGTCTGATAACCCAAGAATAAAAAAGGAAAAAAAAAAAAGTTCTCCAAGTTCTAGGGTGGCTGGCCACACCGCCCTCTCCTGGCCTGGCTGAGAACTGCAACTTGCAAGTCAAATTGTGGCTTCTCCCAGCACTGGGGCTTTTCTGTCCACCTATTTTGAGGCCTCAATCAAAGCGGAACTCCTTTTTGCCTGCGGGTGGGGGCTGCTGTGCTGCTGGTTATGTCTCACTTTCGGGCTGCCCGCGGGCAGTGTCATCCTGACCCCGCCCGCCAGGCCTCATTGTGTCGGGCAGCCCCGGGCCTGTGAACCTGCCGGGGACAGCCAGGGCTCTGGAGGGACCTCGGGCTACATCAGCTCCCTTAGCAGACCCGCGAGCCGTGTCCCTCCCCGCACCCTCCGGAGTTTACACGGCGGCGGATACGGCGGCGGATAAGGCACACACGGCGACTGGCCTGGGTCGCAGGCTGGGGGCCCCTGCTTCTCCCCTCACCAGTGTCTCCCGAAAAGGCAGTTTAAAGTGACACGGGACTAAGCACCCAATGAAGGCTTCCTCAGAAGCCTCCTGGCCACAAAACCTTTCCTAGTAAGTTACTGTGGCTCAAAATGAAGGCGGCGCTCCCTGAAAAACCAGGGCTCTTGGCCACCCTGGCCGCTGGACAGCAGCTGCCCCCCGGCAGAACCAAGATGTCTCCTGTCCTCACTGCACAAGATGGCTACAGGGGCGCAGGAGAACCATCTGGTTTCCAAAGCAGTGGCTGGTTAGGCCCCAGGGTAGCAGGGCCAGGCAGGGCAGGCTTCTGAGAAGTCCAGGAGGGGCTCCGTCCGCCTGGTGATGTCCTGCAAGGGCTCTCAGTCCCCTGCCCTGGGCGACTCAGCAGTGGCTCCTCCGCTCAGTCCGTCCCAGAGAGCACCCTCAGGTCCCTGTGCCCGGCCAAATCCCATGGCGGGTGCACAGGGGAGACAGAAACAAAACACACCAGACCTCGAGCTTGTTTCATATACATATTTATATATATTTCATGTACAAAGTTACATTCCGAACCCCATGGATTCCATAATAGAAATAAATACTGAAATAACTACATTGCTAAATGAGCTTTCTGCTCACAGAAATGAAGTCTAGGCCTCTGAGAGACGGCAAGTTGGGCACCCAGAGCCCAAATGCAGAGGCCAGTAGAGTCTGGGTAAGAAGCCTAGCACGAGACACGGAGAGAACATAATGGTTAAAATATATTCGAATATTGAGAAACGTAGGACAAAATTAATGAAACGTGTAAGAGAAAGAAAAAGACATTTAGTGTTACAGAACAGCTTACCCTTATCAGAAAAGCGTTTAGATTTCCACACTTTTTCTCTCCCCTCATGCGTCCCTTAGCAGGAGCCTCGCTCTTGAGGGTGCTGATGCCACCCGAGAACGCATCTTAATCTTGTCCACGCCGACACACTTCATCCTTCTGAAACGTGTGCTGCGTATTTTGTGCTAAATGTTTTACGCTCTCAAAGACCTGCAGCTTTTTAAGATAGTCATTCCTAGTTTAGCAGTTTAGCTCCACATCGGATAGGAAAAACCCTCAACTGAGTTCCTAAAGACCACCCCCCTCTGCTGCACGTCCGGGAGGAAATGCTGGCTGCGGCACAGACGCCGTTGTGGAGCACGAGCCCGGGCGCACAGGGCCCTCTGCCCCACGTGGTAGCGGTGGGCGTCACTGCGTGTGAGAAGTGACACTGTGCCATCTCTCCCAGAGGTCACCACCCTGCCCAGGATGAACGCCGCAGGGACAGAGGGAGGAGAAGCAACTGCAGAAAAACGGGAACTGAGATTACAAATACGAGCACAGCCTTTGAGACGAATTGTACAGGCCTGTCTCCTTCTGGTCCTGGGTTAACAGGGCCACAGGGAGCCTGAGCTCTTCAGGTGTCACGCACTCCCCCGCCAGGCAGAGCCGGCCAGGGTACCGGGAGCGAGCACAAGCCCTGCACCGCGTGTGCCGACTCCCTAAGTCACACCGGGCACGCGAGCGTGTGAAGGGCCTGGCTCCAGGATGCAAATCTCCAAACACTTGGCGTCTCCTTATGAATTTATACAACATTTCCAATCAATGTTTAATAATGCTCTCTTTTTAGGTATTGCCAAAAAAGGATTCAAATTTTAAGTAAAATAAAACCATAGCAATTAAGCTATGGAAAAGTGACTAAGTTTTGTGCCCCGAAGAAAAGTGACTGAGTACTTCAGCAAAACATTATCTTCCAAACGCAGCTTTTGCAAAAGGCTCTCTTCTAAAACACACAGCGGTCACAATTTTGCTGTGTGCACAATGTGCTTATTACAGATGCCTGTGGCCAAATGGCTGAGGGCTCCCTGGCTGATTAAATCCACGTATTTTATACTCCAGCCTCAGTCCCCACATCCATTTTACAGATGTTTTTGTACAACAGTTCAGGAAAAAAAAAAAAAAAGTCCCTGGAACTTACAAATGCTCAGACAGTTAAGAGACCTGTGTTTGCTTTCTTTCCTCGGACAGTCCTTCCAATGACTGGGGGGACCTTTTTCCTACAGGTTTACATTCTTAAAACAGCACAAAAAGTTACTTAGCTTTGCTTCGAGTTAACGGATAAGAAATGGTACATCACACATTTCAGGAAGTTTGAGAGAATTAAAACAGCATCATGATTTTTAAAAACTCAATGACAAGAGAATCACTTCAACCCAGACTCACATCCGTGTGGGGAGAGACGCAGAGCCGACCCTGGCCTTGTGTGGAGCAACTCGGCCGGCATCTTCGCCTTCAGTTTTTCCCTTTGGTGGCATTTTAAGCCTAAAAGGGAACGAATCTGAAGTGTGTTCTTTGCATCCGCAGGACCAGGTGGGAGCTGTGCATCAGGTCTGTACAGAGCAGAGCTTCCTGCCCCATTCCTCAGTCAGGCCGGACTCTGACTCCGTCCCCACCACCCTGTCGCCGTTGCGGCCACTGCTCCTGGAAGCCACGTGCAGCCCGGGGAATATGTGGCAAACAGGTGAATTTTTACATGGAAGAAAACCCAAAATGAGCCAGCCGCCACCGTCCTCTGGTACACAGTATACAAAACATGATTCCTTTAAAAAACTCTGCCCAATGCTGCTGTGTTTTGTCAGTCTGTCCAGATGTCTTCTGAGCTTTACGGATAACAAGCCTCAAACATGTCAGTATGGAAATGAGCACAACTGGTTAAAAAAAAAGTCAGGATATTCAGAGAAGCAGGCCTTATAAACTTTAGAGCTCTAATAAAACAGAAACAGGAAAATTTTATTTAAATAGTGTAGTCTTACTTTCTTTAATATAAAACCCCCCCAAATCTGATGAAAACAAAGTTTTATATACCATATAAACAAGATCTGTCAGGTTTGAAAGTGGCGTTAATTTACAGTAGCAGCTGGCCCTCTCGGGAGGGGCAGACAGCCCCCGATGAGCCACCTGCTATTACTGTGTCAATTTTATAACACACCGGGGAAAACGCTGCTGTCGTACTTTATGGTACAGTCTCATTTATCAAGTGTTTCCCGTTCATTCCATTATTAGTGACAGCTAAAAGTGCCCCCCTCCAACAAAGCGAGCGACACGAGACTGGCCAGGCAAGCACATCTGGATCGTTTTCTACAACTCCCGGTTTGCAGAAAGTCAGCGCTGTCTGATTTGTTCATAACACATGGACGCTGCCTGTAACACTGGTGCAGTAGACGGCCAGCTCCTCGGCACTGGATGGCAGGACAGGTGGTAACATAAAGTTAGCGGGAAAGAATGCTCACACCACTGTGGTGAAACTTATTTCACAACAAGAGCATTAAATAAAGGGAGAAAGGGAAAATAAACCATGCAGAAGAGACGGCGTCCACCTCCAGCTGTCCCCGCGGGCTCACTCACTGCCATACATCACTTGCCACACGATCAAGTGGCTCCTTTCCGCTTTGGTGACGGCAGGCTCCAGGGGAAGGTCCTCCCCGAGAAGTTCGGATTCTCCACCTTCATCACCTAGAGAGGAACAAGGAGACTCGCATGAGGCTGAGGACGGAGACATAGAGCCGGGGCGCAGACGTGTGAACGACACTCGAGCGAGCTGGCTGCCCAGGAGGACCGGGCCCAGGGCCTCACCCGTGTCCCCCAGTTGCAGCCGGCTCGCTGCCTGTGCCGCGAAGTCACAGTCACACACTTGCGTTTGACAAGAAACGGAAAGCGAAGAACACACCTGCTTTTCCCCCCGTCTCTCTACGGCGGGGGCGCACATGGCTGACACCGAGGCTCTCGGTCAGCAGCGACAGGGCCGGGCTCCCCTCGGCTGACAGAGCGACGGTTCACCTGCTCACACTGTGCACAACAAGGGACGAAGATACCCTAGCGAGAGCTGGGATTTAGCTCAGTGGTTCCGCCGCCTGCCTTGCAAGCACAAGGGCCGGAGTTCGATCCCCAGTACCAGAAAAAACAAAACAAAAAAAAAACCCTAGCGACCCACTGCAGTTCTGTAACGTGCTTCACCTGAAGTTCAGCAGGACCAAAAAAGGCACCAAACTACAGAGAGAAGTGCGCTCCAGACAAGGTCAATTTCTGACCGAAACCCTAATCCTGTCAGTGTTGTTGGAATGCAAAAAAAAAAAAAAAAAAAAAAAAAATTTTTTTTCTCTTTAATTCTTTCTCTTTCAGGCAGTGCCGCACAGGCACCAGGCCCAGCCCGGCTCTCGGATTAAGATTCCAACAGAAGGACTGACTTCCTGACGCCAGAGGTTGCAGACCTTTGCTTTCTATGATCTTTTGAAGACTCTATTTATATAAAAAAAATTGTTTTCTGGGGTTTCTACATTCTACAATTTAATAAAAAATATGACACTGTAGGAGTCAATTTCTCATTGTTAAAATATTCAGAGGAAATGAAAAAGGAAATGAAACAAGATCAAATTTAATTTTTTAAAAAGCATATCCACTATTAAAATTACCCTGTTTAAAGACAAATCTATTGATCAGCCTGGACAATTAGAGGTACTGCCAAATCGGGTTAAGCAATTTTTGTGCTATTTCCAAGCTATCTGCAGCGCCCCCAGCAGGCTAAGTGAAGGCCTCTCCTGTCTCAGCAGCTTCCCTCCCTAGCCGAGAAACCCCCAGCCCTCGCTCTTATCACTTCAGGATGGCTCTTCTCTACTCTGAAACCTGGGCTAGCCGACTGGTCCAAACCCACCCGCCCACCCGGCCCCAGTCCGCAGGCTGCCACACCTCAGCACTGTTTCTCAGCCTCCCGCTCCGGCCGGGCCGGGAAGAGCTCACTGCTCTGGCCAGCGCGTCCACGACCTAGCTCTGTGTGCTGTGCGATATGCCGGAGGGAGGCTTCTGTGATTTGCTTCTGCATCTCAAATTTAAGGCTGACAGGCACAAGGCAGACTATGCTTGTAAGGTGAGAAAGTGAACACATGAAATCGACTTGGACACTAACTACACGTGGTGAAATATTTGTATTTCTTCATTTTGCAGATGAGAAAACTGAGGTTCTGGAGGGTGGGTCTGCCAAAGCCTCTGACTCTAAATTCTAAGCTTTCAAATGACACTCAACAAATGACCACTTCCTGCTATTTCTAATGCTACCTCAAACAAACATACTCCGTGTGGAAAGAAATGTGTACACACATACACGCTTTCCCAAGTAAAGAGAACGTAGAAGTCTTTACCAGTGGCTTCTTGTTTACTGAGCTCCCGGAAGGACGACTTACCCATCCGGAAGTCGATGTAACCCTCTCCTCCACTGATGACCAGCATAGACTTCAAGGGCGTCTGGCTGCTGGGCTCCTGGGCAGAGGGCCCTGCTCTGTCACCAGTTAGATCCGTGCCACCACTGCCACTCTGTGGGCTAAGGACCTGACCTATTGTACAGGGAACAGGAGTGAATGTTGTCACTGAGGAGGGCTGGGGAAGGATTCTTTTCTCAATTTTTTTCAGAGACTTATAAAGGTTAATGCAATCAGAAGTATGACCAAAGTACTGGGGATGCTAGAAAATACTGACACGAAGGTTCTAAGAGCCCAATCTGGAAATCTTAAAAAAAAATGTGTTCCTTTACTCACTGAGCAGGAATAAATCCACAGTCCAATATGAGACACGTGCATGGCGGGGTGGTCTCTGCACCTGCCTGGAATCCCACTATGGGCGCAGTGGGGGAGCTCTCTCCTGACAGGAGGGCAGACCAAAAGCCCTCACCCTCAGCCCTGTAGTCTCCATATTCATGAACAATGTTCAAAATGACTTCAAACCCATGGCCTTCCTGTCTCTCTCCCTACCCCTTTGTGTGTGCCTGTGTGTATACCAGGGATCAAACCCCTCAGGGCCCTGCACATGCTAAGGCAAGAACTACCACTGAGCTATGTCCCCAACCCTTTTTAAACTTTACTGTGAAACATGATCTTTCTAAGTTGCCCAGGCTGGTCTAGAACTTGTCCTCCTGCGTTGGTCTCCCAAGTACATAGATTACACCATGCCGGGCTCTTTGGCTTTCCTCTTGTAGTTTAGGAAATAACACCTTATTTTTTATTTAGGGCATGCAAATAAAATTATTGTTAAATGTACCATTTTTCCCAAAGTTCAGTTCTAAGGTCAGATCCTTGAGCATGAAAATGGTAAAGAGAAAATTTTATATTCACACTATGAAAAAATGAATAAATTGCAAGGTGCCCTCCTAGAAAGCTCTGACTGGAGAATTTTTCTTTGCCGGCATCTTCTATCTCTTGGTCCAGTCACACAGTCCAGGCCTCCAGGAGCTAGTAGGACAGAGTACCATGATGTGATACGCCAAGTAAACAATGCTTTAGTTGACAACTCTGCTTTAGTTTATACTCAACAGAAGAGTCTTGAACATACGCTTAAGAAGGCCTGTCTCTGTAGGGCACAGTGGTGCACAGTTGCAATCTCAGCACTCTGGGAGGCCGAAGCAGGGGGTTCCAAGTTTGAGCCCAGCCTGGGCAACTTAGTGAGACCCTGTCTCAAAATAAATAAAGGGCTGGAGGTGCAAAGGTCCTGGGTTCAATCCCCACCACATGTGTGTATGCACCCACGAAGTCCACCGTCCATTGCAGTGGGGTTGTTTTTGGGTTTTCCTTAGACAGGGTCTTGCTATATAGTCAAGGCCGGCCTTGAATTTGCTGGGTTTAGGCTGCGCTCAAATTTGTGATCTTCCTGCCTCAGCCCGACTGCTGGATTTAACAGTGAAAAAAAGGGGTAGAAACCTAGAGGGGTCCATCAACAAAAGAATGGACAAAACAGCGTTATTTATTCAGACACGAGAATACCACAGTTAATCAATTTGTACACAAAAATATACTGTGCAAGAGAAACAGTTATCAGAAAAGCCTGAGGAAATGACTGCTCCGATGCCCACAGTGTACAAGGGGATTTCCGGCGCCAGTCCGGACACTAGGCCTAACCGTACTACGGGCAGTAAGAAGGGTGGGCGACTGCCAGGGGTCCACGTGGCAGCTTCGTCCTATGCACATTTAGTCACTGAGTCCGTGGCACAGAGAACGCGATGGCTAAACACTCATTTCTGCCACTCGGTCAGTGTGCAAGTCAGAGCTGACCTTTGTCTAACCTACACTTGTCTCTTAGGGGGAAAAAATAATGTTTTTCAAGCCACAGGCCCTGCTTACAGACAGTCCATGCCATTGCTGTGGTATTCTTAGCGGACAGAAGGTTTTCGCTGGATGTCACTGATTCTCAAAACCAAGGAGGCAGGCGGAGCGGGTGTGAACGGCGCCCTCGGTGGTACGGCAGAGGCGCACACGTGCACACTGCTCTCTGCCACAAGCCCTTGGAGGCAGGGCCCGTCCCCACCTCGTCGCGTCTATCTGGGCGACAGAGGCTTCTCGGCAGTGATTTTCTGCATGAGCTCGAGCCCCGTGAGGCAGGCTGCTGCGCCTCCAAGCATTGCATAAAAATGTAGACGCCTGCTTCTGGGAGGAGGGGACAGCTGCAGAATACTTCACCCGGGGCCCCGCGGCAATGGCCCCACCTCAGAAGTCTACCGAAGTCACCTCGGACTCACCCGGGACGGCCACGAAGAACTTCACGGCGTCGCGGTGTCCGTGGAAGCAGAGCTGTGCGTGTGCCATCGAGCAGTAGGGTATGAACGTCCCTGGGGTCACTTTATCGCTGTTTTCATCACCATAGACGCGGATCACACTGCCAGGACGGTTTCCTGGGGCTCCTGAGGTTTTATTTGCTGCAACAGAAACATCAAAGACAAACGTTTTCCCCTAGAAGACGGTCATAACGCCAAGAGGGTACTGGTTAATCCTTATGATGTTATCTAAAAGCTACAGCCAGTTGAGGTAAAACAAGGGCAGCGACGCCAGTTCAAGGCAAAGCTGGAAAAGAGATGGCATGCTCGTTATTTTTAAGGACCTCAGGAGATGGAGCAGGGGATTTTGCCAGTCTAGCCTATTAATTTTTAGAAACCATTTTAGTTAACCATTGTGCAGTCTAGAGGAAACGGGTCTATTTTCTTTGTAGCTTCTCTTCTGCCTCTGTCTCCCCCTGAAGGGGCGGGAGAGCTGTGCGGGATGGAGTGGCCCTCATCCCGCTGACGTCCGCTGTGACCACGGGTGGCCAGACTCACAAACATCCCCGTTCCATGGAAGGGAGGCGGAGGGACAGGTTGTAAGGTGAGGACGCGATGTAGATTAATGACAGTGTGAGAGACGTGTCAGGGTTTTACTGGCAGGAAAGTGAGTTCAGCTGCGACAAAGATGATAAATACACTAAGCTGCGGAGCGGCTGGGGGCCGTGGGATAATCGTTAAAACGAACAACCGGCTGCAACGCAGTGGCCGCGAGTGGTGACACCGAGGAACATTCAGGGGGTTCAGAGGGACAGCCTCACGCGGTCAGGATCTGCACTTACCCCTCAGCCCCAGTAAACGTCCCTGGTGGAGGATTACAGCTGAAGTGAGAGAGGAGGAAGGGCACATGGAGGCGCGGGCTGGGAGGAGGTGTCACTGGGAGCGCCGGCCCGTGTCTCCACCTGGCCTCTACCTGGCCGGCCCAGATGAGCACCAGCAGCGGCCTCAGCCCGCGTCCCCCGAAGTCCCTGCTAAGCCCCCATGGGACAGCTGGGCTCCAGAGGACTGACTGGTTTACAGCAATTTGGGTTTAATTTTAAAGTCATTTTGATGAATCTGAACCAAAACCTTAAGAACCTGACATGGAACGTTCCCCACTTGCTGCCATTTCCCCTCTCCTCTTCTGTGGGTATGAGCATGTTATTTTCAAAAGAAATCCTGTTTAGACATCTATGTCAAAACACAACTCTTATGATAAAAAATTGTGACGAAATCCAGGAACCCTGGAATCTCTTAGGATTTAAGAAGAAGTCTATACACGGAGACTTTTTTGGGTTTTTTTTTTTTTTGAGACAGAGTCTCACTATGTAGGTTCAGGTTGGCCTTGAATTCACTGTGTAGCCCAGGCTGGCCTAAACTCGCGGCGATCCTCCTGCCTCTGCCTACTGAGTGCTGGGATTACAGGCGTGTACCACCATGCATGGCTAAACACAGAGGCTGTAGAAAATTGCAGAAAAGATAGCTGGAATTAAGAATGTGGATTCTTAAGGCTCCAGATAAACCTTCTAGTCCTCCCCTCCCTTTCTCTGAAAAAGGGTAGAGTGATTCTGAGGTCTGTGTTTACTAATTTATATTATGGACATAGGGTATCTTTTGGGGGGTACCTTTTTTAAAACCACTCTCTGCCCATGAATTCTTTTTTTTGTTTTGGTATTGGGGATCGACTCAGGCCCTTGTGCTTGTGAGGCAGCTGCCAGAACCACTGAATCAAATCCCCAAACCTGGCCATAAATTTTGCAACACAAAAACATTTCCTTAATGGGTGATCAATGTAATGGAGAAACATACCAAGTACATTTTGTTGACAAAACTAAAGGAAACTAAAAAGTCACATTCTTTTTAAGCACAAAAGAGACATCTTAGGAAACACTTGCTGACCTCCTGAGAAACTTCTCCCATGTTTTCTTTTTAAACCTCTAACAGGACAAATGGGATTACTTAAACTACATTCCAGGGGAATACAAGGGGCTTGGGAATGCTGATGTAGCTCAGTGCAAGGTCCTGGGTTCCAACCCTCAGTATTGCAAAAGCAAAAAACAAAAACAAAGAAAGCACAGTGAATGGCAGGTAGTATTTAGATACTGGTATAATAAAGTTAAAGAAAAATGGATTTCAATCTTTATTTCCAAGATGAAACAGGTCCATGATTCCTGAATTTTCTGAGAAAGAGTCCCTTGCAATGAAAAACTTTTAATTATGAATATTGGACCTAATACCTGATAACTGTTCTCCGCTTTATAAATTTCATGAAGAATGAAAGATCAGCTTGATTTTTTTGAGTTATCACAGATTTGCCAACCTCTCAACAGCTGCTTCTACCTGAGTCCTGGACAGGACTACTTTCTGCAATCCTGTCTGAGATAGTTATCAGAAATACACTTACTTTCTGTCAGTGGGATGGAGATAATGACACCATTTCCGGTCCCCACCCATAAACGATTGCAGGACACCATAAGAGCTGTGATCCTCACGAAAGAGAAGCCCAGTTTCCCAGTGCCTGTAAGGGGGAGAGGAGAACATTTTATTGAGAAACTGGAGCAGACCGTGTTTTCAACTCCAAACCCCTCAGAGCAGCTGCATTAATACCAGACTAAATTGCACTAGAGATGCACAGATGTTTGCTGAGGGTGCAACAAGAAAAACTCTTGGCTTTATTAGCTAGCATCTGTTTGACAAGTCAGGGTTAACAGAAAAATAAGGTTCTGGCCAGGCGTGGTGGCACACGCCTGTAATCCCAGCTAATCCCAGCATTTGGGAGGCTGAGGCAGGAGGATCCCTGTGAATTTGAGACCAATCTGGTCTACATAGTTAGTTCCAGGTCAGTCTCAACTACATAGTGAGGCCCTGTCTCAAAAAACCAAAAAAAAAAAAAAAAGTTCTGAAAGTGGCCACCATTACATTACCAGCCAGAAGGAAAACACAAACCAAAACAAAAAATACCCAATAGTAAAACAGTTTATTAGATTGGGAAATCAAATGTCCTCTGGCTGTATAAGTCGAAAAACTTCTGATTTGTCTTAAATTTTTTTCTTTACATGGATAAAAGAAGCTTTGCTAACAAAACTTAAGCTTTTGTTTTTGTTTACATATTTAAATATTTGTTTATATATTTAGGCTCTAAGGCTGTTTAGAAATATTAGGACATCACATAAAAATAGGGACAATGAAAACATTTCTGTATCTCAACAGAATTTTTATAACTGATCTTATTTTTAGAGATCTTAGAGGCAAAATGATTAAACAAACAATACATGCTAGACAAACAGCCCCAGTTCCTGACAGTTCTGCTTACGAGAACTGTGGGCCTGAACCCAAAGTCAGCATAGAAGGAACCTTAACTAACAGCCAGGCCACCCTGGGAATCAGCTTCCTCAGCCTGACCTGGGAGAGGGCTCACAGCTACGGTCAGGTTCACCAGGGCGATGACCCTAAAGGTTAAAACAAAAACCACTGACGGGGCCTGCAGGGTGGCACACACCTGCAAGCCCAGCCCAGCTGGCTGAGGAGGAGGCTAACTTGAAAACGTGGTGAGACCTTGTCCCCAGATAAAAAATAAAAAGGGATGGGGTTGTGACTCAGTGATCCTTGAGTCCAAGTCCCAGTATCACAAAACCCCCCACCCCACGATCCGGTTCAACTTTTCACGAAAGAAATCTTTACCACAGCCCTAACGGTCCAACAGCATTGGATGAGATGCTAAAAGTATAGCAGTGAACGAGAGAGGCGGCCCCTGCCCTCCACAGGACAGTCAGGAAGAATCACAATACCGGTGCCACCCAGATGCAGGCCTCTCCTGGACGGACACCCAGGCCAGGACCCAGAAGCCACAGGAAAGAGACCAGAATCTGCCAGGCGGAGGACAGCGGTCCTGGCCCGAGAGGGACTGAGCCATGGGTCAGTGGTCACAGGACAGATGTCACCTCACTGAAAGGATAGAGGGGAAGTGCACCGAAGTGACACTGGTCACCCTTCAGGGCAGGCTGAGGTGCAGGCAGGGGAGCGGTTAGGAGGCCATGGTGGAAGGGCAGTGAATGGCCCTGGGGATGGCGGAAGGGACATAAGGAAGTCACTGGTTTTAGGTCCTGTGGACCTGACAGAGTTCCTGGCGACAGGCAAGATATGAATACAAGAGATCAACAGTATTCCCAGGTGTTGGTCCAGAACCACAAGGCAGACTGCAGCACCTGCTGGATACTCCCGAGGCAGCCCCTTACCGGGCCACTCAGAGCACCTAAGAATGCAGAGGCCCAGGGTGAGGCTCAGCAGGACGCCTCTGGCTGGGTAGCGCCCTCCACATACACAAGGTCACTGAAACGCACCACTGGCCCTGACTGCCGGAGAAAGCGCGCGGACCTCACCTAACATCTTGCTGACGTAAGGCTCGATGTCCACGTCCTGCAGGTGCTGGTAGGTGTGCGCATGGTACAGACGCAGTGTGGAGTCCAGGCGGATGGAGACCCACACGCCGTCGCCCACCCAGGCCAGCTGCCGCACCTGGCTCTCCTTCCGGGGGTGCGCGTCAAAGGATTTCTAGGGGAGACCGTCCCATCACAAAGGCACTTTGGTCACACGGGAAGAACTGTTTAAAATTCGCTAACTCGGCCGGGGGTGGGGGTGGGGTGGCGCGCGCCTGTGGCCCCAGCGCTGGATCACCGTGGGTCCCAAGCCAGCCTGAGTTACATTCCATGGCAAAACCCTGTCTCCAAACAAGCAAACTAAAACAAACCACTAATCTGCACAATCTAACAGACTACTCACTAAAAGGAGCCCAAACGTTATTTATTTAATCTGACTCCTCGTTTAATTTTATGTATTATTATTGTTGTTATTTTTTGGTTTTTTTGGTACCGGGGATCAAACTGAAGTCCTAGCGCTTGCAAGGCAGGCAGCGGAACCACTGACTAAATCCCCGGTCCCTGACTCCTCCTTTAGATGCAGCTTGCCCCATACTAGGAAGTGAAATGAAGAAAAAGGAGACCAGTCTGCTGGCCTGGGCTCTGTGCGGACATCACTGCAGGACACAGCATCACCCTGTAAACAGTGCTCCCCAGAGGTCCCTGCACAGCCAGAAGCAAAGTCCGCTCGCAGCCACACACAAAGTGCTACTCTCCAAGGGATAGACATGGCTAGCTTTGGGACCTCTAAGAAAGGGAATGGGATTTGGGGCTGAAGAGGAGAAATTCTACCTTAAAATTTCCTGCTGCAAACTACTTAAATAGACCCTATCTTAAAATTTTGTATTTTGTGGTCTTTTGGTCACTATGTAGCTCAGGCTGGCCTCAAGCTTGCTGAGATCCTCCTGCCTCAGCCTCTCAAGTGCTGGGACTACAGGGTGTACCATCACACCCGGCTCTCGGTTTTTCTTTTCTTTTCTTTTCTTTTTTTTTTTTTTTTTTTTTTTCTG